AACTCCAATTTTTTGAAACATCACCTCGAATTTCATATTAGTAAAATTCTTTAGTATCTTTGTTAGTTTAGAGATATTCATCCTCATATTGTAAAAAATGAGCACTTAAACATCTTAGTTAGGGCATTTTAATGCTGAAGTGTTATGAAATTCTTGTATTATCCTACATCAATCACTCTCACTTGAAAAAAAAAACTCGTCCTTCAGTTTTGTTGAAGAAAAGAATCCTTGATAACTTGTGTGTTTCCAAATTTGGCTGGGACTCAAGAAAATTCTCTAGCCATATGTTGCCGTGTTATATGCTTGTTGAAACAACTAACATTCATAGCAGTTAAAGTTTGCAAATTCTTTCAGCTTACTTCTCTATGAGATCGCGATTCTTTTCAAGACTCAATGCGGTCACTATCTGTGGGATGTTGTGCGACCGCATAGTTGCTCCTGCGGCACGACCCTTGCATATGACCATGCAATGCTACTGCACCGCAGGTTGGAATGGCCTATGCGGTCGCATAATAGTGTTATTTGGCCTTAGTTTCACTCTTTCATTCCATACCCGATTTATTGATTTTGAACAATAAAATGCAACAGATATGAAGATCATTTCACCCAGTGGCGGATCCAGAGTCGTCGGGATATATATATATATATATTTCAAACATCCCTATAACTTACTTGGTGAGAGCCAGCATTAATATACTTCAAGTCTTAGGTTCTAATCTTTGTCAATGAATTTGTTGTGTATTATTTTTATTCTATAATTTTTACCAAAATTCAATAAGGGAGGGACAATGAGGATTTGAACCCATGATCTCAAGCAAGGGTTGTGGTAAACTTAACCATTATGTTACCTCTTGAATTGTGTTACTAAATTTTAAAAAAATGATATTTGTTAGATTTTGATTATTTTAATGCAAACCATTTTAAATATTCAAATTCACACTCTTCCTTTGAATTATACAAAATTTGGCAACATTGTTATTTGATGAGTTCTATTTATTCTTATAACAGAATTATATATATTTATTTTGAACAAAATAATTGTTATATTTATATTTTAGGCCTTGTTCGATTCCCCTTTTTTTAAAACTACATTTTTTTTTTCTTATTTTCATCCATACATTCTTCAATAAAATAATATCACACATAAATTCATTTTTTTTTATTTTTAGTCACACGTTCAGACGTTCTCCATCAAATCACCATTCTAAAATGCATTTTTTGCTAAAAAAATGGATACCAAAAGCACTTTTAATATTTTATTGCAGTCAACGGTAGATGGTCAACGATCGCCCAGGCTGACTCAAACTCCTGGATTCGCCACTGATTTCCCCACCCTTCACCCTAGCAGTGTTAATACATCCTTGAATTTATATTGTGAAAAAATAAACCTTTCTTCAAGAATTAGATAGGACATAGAAGTACATATTCTGACATGATTTCTAAACGCAAAGAAGAAACAGTGTCGTTTATGTATTTTCTTTGTATAATCTTCATTTGTATATCAGTTACATTTAATTGATCGATGCCTTCATTTACGTGATTGTATAAGGACGTTTTTTGAACTTGGCGTTTACTTTTTCTCTAGCTGCTACTGGAATCTGAATTTGTAGTTAACTCAATATGTACTAAGGAAATGGTGTATTCTGTAACATATAAGCTCTGACTTTCCTGATTGATAAAGGTGCTTTGATTGTTAAGAGAATTTTCGGTTGTCGATTCTCTAATTCTTAATAAGTTGTGAAGAGGAGCACATGACTGATAGCTTTTTGGATTATTTCTCTGGTTTTCATTGTAATGGGATTTACGAGTAAGGTGAACTAGCCATTTTTTCTTTTCTTTTCTTTTCTGTTCTTTTTTTCAATTTTTTCTATAGTGAAATTTATTAACTATTATCAAGCAAAGCTGTTAAGGGACATGTTGCTTGTACAGAACCAAAACTCATATAAAAGGCACAAATCACTCACACTGGTGGGTCAGGGTGATATTCTGCCAATTTTTTAACAACAACAGGGTTCGTGCATGTGACCTTTTGGCAAACTTCTGTGAAATGAATAGGCATGTGACCTTTTGGCAAACTTCTGTGAAATGAATAGTTCTGTACAAATGATATTTTCCAGCTGTTAATTGGTTGAAACTTGGAAGCTGTCATTCTTAGCATTTAATTGCGTATGCCATTGTAATCATTTTCAGGCTCAACTCATAATTCCTCTCGATTTGAGATCTATTTGTTGTTGTTCTCTGTAATTCAGCAAACCATTGCGTTCCCAATTTCAGTGTGTAATTGGTCTTATTTGGTAATTGAAATGAGTTATGCTACACTTACAAATGAGGTTGACAAAATTGGGTGATAAAATCACATTCACACCAATCATTTCAAAAACAAAATTTTAAATCATTTGAAATCAATGACATGAATTTTGCCAATATATTTTGTAACCCAACTTTGTACAACTTTATTGAATTGAAAAATTACTGAGATCCTATCCAGTTTGGTTATAACCCTATTATTACAATTGTAATGTAGCATATAATAATAAAATAAAATTTTAGAAAATAAAAAATTATTTTAAAATAACTTAATTAAATTAAAACTTATTAAAAAAAGTTACTTAAAAAATATAATAAAAATTATTTTTAAAAAAGTCAATTAGAAAAATAAAATAAAATAAAATAAAAAGATATTTTAAAAAAAAACGTTCCTTAAAAAAATAAAATAAAAACTTATTTAAAAAAAATGTTTCTTAGAAAAATAATATAAAAACTTATTTTAATTTTTTTTCATATAATTAAAAAAAATTATATATATAATGCAAAGTTACCATTTTACCCCTTTTAAAATTAGTGAAAAATGGTGAAAAGAAATTGTGTGGTCATGGGACTCTAAATATAAAATTAGGTGATCATGGTGAAACAAAATTAATTAGGCGACCATGATAACACTTAATATAAAGTTAGGTGATCATTGGTAAATTTATCGATAATCGTTCTAGTCATTGTTATTTCCCTTGTGACTTTCTGCATTGAAATGGAGCTGAGGTATTTTTTCTTTTTTCTTTCTTTTTGACCCTTTCTTCATATTTTTCCTTTATCATCTGAAAATCTATTAGATACGGGTGTAATTCGATTAATTCCCCAGCTTCTATGCACAAAAGGTCTGGATGAAGTTACTATACCTTATAAAAATTAAATATATGTTTTTCACCCAAAGTGTTTACATCTCACATTGTTTCTTGCTAATAAATTCGAGAATGTTCGAATTTTTCTTTGTTTACAAGTGTTTAGATAATTTTAACTTTATTGATTTATCTGCAATTGCATAGTTGCGCACACAAGCTGATAGAAACATCATGTTAATGAGTCGAATTCGAGAGGGGTAAGCTTCTCTTTAACACGTTTCAAGAATTTTAATGAATTCTCCAAGATTGCATTTCAATGCTATATATTCTTCTGGCATGTGTTACTTTTCACCATTATATTTCGACAATTTATTCATAGCATTCAAGTTGCATGAACATGAACTTTCTCCCATGCTGATTCAGCTATGTTAATTGAATTTACATCGTTCTTTATTTTCGTCTGTACTATTCTATGTTACCATCATGCTATCCTTGATGATGAATGGTGAAGGATTCGGCAATGATATTCATATAAGTTTGGTATCCATCTTCAAACATTGGAATGGTTCAAAGGGAAAACTAAAAGGAGAATTTCCACCATCATAAAGCCTAAGCAAAGTCTGTGTGTGTAGATTTTTATACTTGGAGGAGTGCTAATGTATGGCTTCATTTGATCATGCCCTTTTTGCTAACATTGGGTCTTGTAGACCTATGTATTTATCCTTGTCCAACAGTTCGGTTTAGTGCGCAAAGAACATGGTTTCAAAGAATTATAAATCGGGTTACTGGTGGAGCATGCACTATATATATTCGATTCGTGCCAATGAACGAAAAAGAAAACTACGATCTTGGTTATTTCTTGTTTTTTCTTGACACTGATTGATAGGGTCTATCAGTTCGTAACTTCCTCAAATTTCAAGCAAAAGTTCATCAAAGATGGAAGAAAAATGAAAAAGGACAAAGAAGCTGGAAATAAAAGGAAAAGCTGAAAATAAAACATAAAACGGAAATATGATCGATCATCAGTAGGAAAATAGATTCACATCTACAACCTTAGCAAGTTGTGTTTCGATGTGTCCTAAGATTTTTTCCATTGATCATCACTGGATCGATCATCATCTGCTAAAAAATTAAACAAATACTTTCAAGAATTAAGAGAAATAGTGCAAGCAAAATAGAAGGCAGATCAAGTGAACCTCCATAGAATTTGCAACTCTAGCTGATGAAACTTTCGAGCTTTCGGTTGCAAAATTATGTAAATGCATACACACATGGATTAACGTTATAGATAAGAGACGAGAAGGAGAAAGTAAATAAGAAATAGACAGAAACTTAATGTAAATGTACCCAAAAAGAAATGAGGAAAATTGCAAGGAATAAGAAACAAAGAAAACTCTAGAATTTGGGGTTACGTGGCGATATTTACTTCATATGATCAAACTTTTGGACTTGTGTTCGGCTGAATCTTTAAGATAAATTGAGAGCAATTTTGTTACTTTAAATTATATGATCCAACCAAAGGATGGTGAGTTAGATAGCACCAGGCTGGATATCCTAACAACTTTAGCACTCACCTCTTTATTCTTTTGCTATAACATTTTTTTTTTTTTTTCAAAATCCTTTTTGTGGGTTTTACTTCACATAAAGAGAAAATTTGTCGCAAACTAAGTGGCGCAACTTTTATTACGTGATAATGAAAGTGCATTTGAATATCAGAATAGTTCGAACACCTTGATTTAAAATGACTTGATCTATGAACGTATAAATTTGGGACTGGATGGTTACTTTCACCAAATATTGGGGGTCTAAATTTGCAATTTACAAAAAAAGGGCTTATCTTCAATGTGGGGGGAAAAATGAAATAGAGGTTGTGAGCTTCAAGAAATATGAAAAATCTATCCTATTCATATCTTCTATTTTTCTCGTGTCTTTCTCTCTACCGCATCTACATTCACATCACTCTCCGCCCGACAGTTGCTCCCTTAACTTAAAAGCCATGGCTTCCATGGCTGCCAGACAATTTTTCAACTTAAAGGCTGTGAAATTTTCACCCCTTGGCTTTTTTCCCCGGTCACCTGTAATATTTATTTCCTCCAATAAGACTGTTCAGTTCCTAAGTTTTGGTGGTGACTTTTCTAGCAAACTTAATCTTACAGCAGTCCCCAAGGCATCACCAGATGGCATTTTGCCTATTGATGATGAAGACGGAGTGTCCTTGGGAACCTTGAAACTGCCCTCCAACACTGACCTTTCAAGATTTGAATCCTTACTCTTTCAGGTACTTTGAGTTTTGAATAAAATTAAATTAGAGTTCAGTTATAACACAGGCCTAAATGTTGTAATTCTTGATTGTTCATTAATATAATTTGACAGTGGGCGAACAGTCTTTGCCAAGGTGCCAATTTGCCTATGCCAGTGCCTCTGAAGGTCAGTATCGTTTATAATCTATCTTCATAATACTTGTTTCTTCACCACAATAAGGTCTTTTTCCCAGCCACTTTGTGATCATGAAGTAGAGTGAGTGAGTCTTGCTTCCCAAATTGCTTGTTAAGTAACTGTTTTGCAATTTTCACAACAGGTCGACAAAATTCCGGGTGGAGCTAGACTTGGGTTTATTACAATTGGAGACGGAGAGACTGAGGTTCTTGTGTACATAGACTGCTTAGTTTTTCCAGCTACTGAGAGTTCTGGTCCAGTATTTCGGGCCATAAGGAATGGACCCCAGAAAAATCAGTCTCCTCCTGGAGAGCCAAGAATAATGAGGAGCCTTCTAGATGCCCTAAAGAAGTCTGTCGAAATAGCAAGACTTTAAAATATATTTTCTTTTTGCTTCGATACTTGGTCGAATGTAGTCATCTTTACTATTGTATAATGTAATGAAATGCATATCTATTTCATCTCAGGTAATTTATTTTTCGGAAAAGACTACTTGTCCAAGACCTCCCTGTCCGTCCAGGGCCCATGTGGCCTTAGACGTACAACACCCCTCTTATTTCCCTCGATAGTCTCAAGAAATGGCCCGAACCCGAAGTATCAATAATTTATTGGATCATAACTTAAGAAATCCCAATAATAATATTCACTTTTCTAACTAAAAAATAAGATGTATTCATGAGCGTTAACTCTAATAATTAGCAAAAATAACTTGAACTTTTCAGATCCATACTTATGATAGACATGAACAGTTGTTTCCTCTGCTGTCATTCTATTGAACTTTTCATCTAATAATTATCCATGTCACATTTACTATGTCACGATCAATCCCTTAATAATGTTTATTGTAATATTTTATTCCTCGATATTTCTTTACTTTGTAATATTTCTGTGCCTTGAAACATTAGTCTTGTAAAATATCCCAACTTAGCAGATAGCACATCCGTTTGTTGGCCTATCGCATCCTCAATGTGCAGCTCTTTCTTAATGTTCTGATTACAAAAGAATTATTCACACCTAATACAAAACATAATATTTTATCCAACTTCTATCTACTATTACACCTGTATCTTGTTCGTATCATTTCATAATTTCACTAGAGTCCCAAAAAATCACAAAACTTATCATCCTTAGATTCATAGGCCTATTTTTAAGAATTATCAACCATTCTAATCACTTTTTAAAATCCTCAAAGATCATGTTATATTAACTAAATAGTCATGTTATATTTCACATATTCAAGACCATAGAATTACTAGCCTAAAGTGGTATAGGAATACATATTATGGCTGAATCAAAATAAATCGGACGAGTTATTACCAAATAAACGTTGTCTTCGATTCGATTGCACCATGAACAGAAATTGGTTGAATTTAAAGTAAAACAATGACAAATGAAATTGCAGGTAATCCAAGAATGTAACATTTAAATATTATAAAATGCAAATTAAGTTCACAATTTGACAGTTTGGCCGAGTGGTCTAAGGCGCCAGATTTAGGCTCTGGTCCGGAAGGGCGTGGGTTCAAATCCCACAGCTGTCAACTCATCTTTTTCATTAATTATTTTTAATTGCGAAACATTTTTGCCATTATAAACGACATCGTTTTTAATATTGCAACTTATTCCTTATCTATCTTCAATTAGACATTTTCTCTTCCAAGTTCCAGTGGACCAATTCAACGTAAAATTGTAGACTGGTTACACTTTGCTGCTGCAGAGAAATGAGGAATCATCTCAGCAAACCCTGTCTAACCCACGTATTGAACCGGCTTCTCTCATCTCCGATCTCGGTCCCCCACCGGTCCGGACGATCCCTTCGAACCTTAGCCTACGAAGAGTTGAAATCCCCTCCAGAAAAATGTCATAATTTCACAGCATTTATACTCCACGGCCTCCTCGGCTCCGGTCGAAACTGGCGTTTCTTTTCCCGTTCCCTCGCTTCCGCACTCTTGCCCGCCCGTATGTCCCCTTACTTCTTATAAATATAAATTCGGTATGCATATGATATCTATGATTCAGTTGCATACACCGCGAAAGGTAGAATTTTTTAATGAATTTTGTATTTTTCATGTTGGATTATGTGTAGAGTGGAGGATGGTGATGGTGGATTTAAGGAATCACGGAAAGTCGGCTGAAATTGAAGAATTATTGCCCCCACACGACCTGGAAAATGCGGCCAAGGATCTGGCAAATTTGGTTAAAACTGAAGGGTGGGATTGGCCTGACGTTGTTATTGGGCATTCCATGGGGGGCAAGGTTGCTTTGCAGTTTGCTCAAAGTTGTGCTAATGGGGATTATGGGGATTCTGTTCACTTGCCCAAACAGGTAGTCTAGTTTGATCAAATCAATAGATTCTTGGATCTATACCTTCCAATTTATGTTTGTGAGTTTACATTTTCTTGAAAAATTTACTACAATATCTGGCACGTCTATGGTCTTGCAAGAGAATTCAAAGCATTGGTCACCTGGTTTTTGTTTGACATTTTTTTGGTTTCCGATTTTTATTCGAGTTTTTTTAGTATATTTCAACATTGATGAGCTGGATTGAGAAGGTATAATTTTTCTAACAGATGAGTAAACTGTCAAATAGCAGCTATGGGTATTGGACTCTGTCCCTGGAACAGTGAACCGCAAGAATGGTGACGGTGAAGTGGAGAAAGTTCTGGAGACCTTGCAGAGTCTACCTTCAACAATTCCCTCTCGGAAGTAAAGTCTACCAAACCATATTGTTACTCTCCTGCATTAATACAGTTGGTTTTGTTCTAGTAGTGGCAAAAGCAAGGGGAATGGTGGGATGCTTGAACATTTTGTTGCTCGCTTTTAGTCAAGCCTATCATGGCCATTGTTTATTACTTTATTTCATTGCTGATTAATGTCTAATAGGTTACTCCGTTGATATAAAATGTTAACCTTTATCCCCAAATCGATTAATTTCTTTTAATTTTTGGTGTGATCACTGCTCTTTGATCTCTTTATTCTATATCCTTAACTAGTTAATAATATCTAGTTTAAGTGGTAATGGTTGAATCACTCGTCCGTGAGGTCTCATTTTACCATTTTGTGAATTGTTTACTTCGTTATTATTTCTGGGCCTGCTATTATGTGGGCTTCTAATCCTTGTTCTTGTCCTCTATAACAATATAACATATGAATAAACATGTTTTTACTTCAAGCAAGTATACATTATATATTACTGTAGTTCTGTTGTCAGTTACCAGGATGACATGCTGTTGCTGTTTAATAAATGCAAGCAATCCAAGTAGCCTGAATGTTATATCTCAGTTGGCACTTAAAAGAACTGAAGGAAGTGATGAATTTGTCAAGGGAACTTCCGTCTAGATTCTTTAATTGTCAATTTATAATGTGCATTACTATGCTGATGCCATTTTTTCGCACCTTGAATTTTACACATAGAATAAATCATAGCTCTGGTAATGGTTTTTTATAGACAGAAGGTAATAGATAGCTCTGATTTTCTTTTCTTTAGGATTATCTGTGGTGAGTCTTCCCCATCTGATAAAACTCGTGCAAGTCAAAACCTTTTGGTATTTCAAGTGTTTATATTATTGTCCAAGTTTACATGTGTGTGATGTAGGTCTTTGTAATAAGCTAAAGTGAATAATGTATTGTAGGAAATTTCCTTTTTGTAGTATTGAGGGACTCGGGAGTACGAGTATCAAATGAAAATTCAAAACCTTTTTGTAAACTTTTGGTTTCTCTTTGTTATGAACCCAATGAAGTGAATGAGCCACATTTGGATAGCATAAATGAGTTATGACATCACAGTATACACATGTATAAGTAACACCATGTTCCATGCATTACAATCAAGAAATTGCATTATTGTTTCGGATGTAGAGCATATAGTTAAAATGCGCAAGAATTTTTTGCAATTGAACCATTGGTTACCTTTATCCTTTTGTCATTTTTGATGATTTTGAATTGTGTTCTTTAGTAATCCGTTATTGATTGGTTACTATGTTCCTCTAGATTTTAGGACTAAAAACCTCATTTTCTAGCATTTTGTGGTAAAGGTATCAATTCATGACCAATAGTGTGCTTTTATTAGCTTTATTTATTTATTTTCACTATTACAACCATATCTTCTTAATTTCACTTTTGGCACATATCTTCCTTTTTTAACTTTTTGGTCCTATATCGTGTTCTCTTTTGACCCCCGTATGATTATTAATTACATTTTCTCCTATTTTATATTACGTGTTTATTTATTCTTCCCCAACATTTTCCATTCTTTCCCATTCCTTTTCATCTAAGAAACTTTATCTTTTAGTGTAGAATGTTTTGAGTTTACTCATTTGGTAATGTAACAAGTCTCCTTGCTCGCTTCAGATGGCTGGTGGATCACATGCTGAAGCTTGGGTTTTCCAAGTCATTATCAGAGTGGATTGGAAGCAACCTTAAACAATCAGGAGAAGAGCAGACTTGGGCTTTTAATCTTGAGGGCGCTGTTCAGATGTTCGATTCTTACAGGTAATATAATTTAATTCGTTTGATGTGGCTCTATTGCTCAGAATATAAATGATATTAGATAGTTTGCATTTTCCCGATCTGACTGCACTTATTGTTAATGACAATCATAGGGTAACGGATTACTGGCCTCTGCTGGAACATCCACCCAAAGGCATGGAGATAGCCATCGTACGTGCTGAGAACAGCGACAGATGGGACTTAGATGTCATTAAGCAACTTGAAAGCCTTGCTACTACTAAAAGAGTGGATGAAACTGAAGGGAAAGTTTCGGTTCATGTTCTGCCCAATGCAGGCCACTGGGTTCATGTGGATAATCCTAAGGGACTTCTTGAGATTGTGGCACCCAAAATTGCCTCTTTGTCTTAGTCATTATGGTCATGGCTTCTAGATTTCTACAGCTCAAAGCAAACATTGGTTTAGTGCAAATACCATTCATTCCAGTACATTATATTAAGCTATTAGCTGGGTTTGGTGAATAGTGATGTTTTTACCAGGGGTTTAAACTTGAGCCATGCTTAATTTGATTATTTTTTAACTGTCTGCTAGCTGCTTCCTCTAATCCTCTCTAGTAGTCATCTTGTTCTTTATAAATACCATTGGTTGAAAATGAGGGAGAGTTTCTCGATGCTGTCAAATACTTGAATCCCTCAAAACTTTGTTTATCATTAAGAGTGACAATGAGTCGAGTACTCCATTTTCCATCCCCGCCTTGCTAGGGATTTCTTTGTCCCGTCGGCAAAGATTCCCAATCACCGTTTATTCTCCCGTTTATAATTTTTTTTTTAATTATAATTTCAATATCGATTAAATTAACCAGTATATAATACAAATTCTAAATTACACTGAATTATAATTTATAAATTATTAAAATAACTTTAAATTTATAGACATTCATTCTTGTTTTCAACCTTAATCCAATTCCCAAAATCCTCGAATTATACATACTTGAAATCTCGATCTTTTTGAAACCGTAATTATTAATTCTAGAATCATGCTACACAAATATAATTGTTGACATGCGGGATAACCGAACACTCACACCTTGAGGATTGG